GTTAAGTTGATTTACATACTAGTTGCCAACAGTGGCTGTTAACGTTCTCAAGCTCCGCTTGACAGGAAGAATTGAAGCAACTGTTTATATTATCAATTGAAGCTGTTAAAGGAAAGAAAACGGTATAAACACGAAAATGCAGGTAGAAACAACGAACAGCGAACATTCCTCTCGCTCTGGTCGTCAAGTTGGCTCGCCTAGGCAAGCCCAGCGTGAAATACCGAGATTGAGTATAAGACGATCCTTCAGCACGGAGGCATCCTCAAGAAGAAAGAAGATTTTTTGCTTGTGTATACTTTGCTGGTTTATCGTTTTGTGCTTGACTGGTATCATTGTCATAGCTGTGGTACATTTTCAAAGCTCTTCCAGCAGAATTGATCAGATAAGTGCCGGCGCACTAATCGGGTTTGGTTTATTGCTGATCGTTGTTTTGGGGTGGACTGCGATTCTTTACAACAGGTTTCAGAAAAGTTCGTCGATTACAAGGCAAGACTCAAGGACTTACCCTCCTAGAGAAGAAATGTTGGCGTTTGCTTCGTCTGATTTATTCGGCGGTAGAGGAGTTTCAACGATTTCTACCGATAACTCCGCGTCTCATTCAGATAGCTCATCCGACGGAACCAGTCGACGCTTCATGTATCGCGAACGTCATTACGATGACGAGCGAAGAGTTATTGATCCCGTGAATACTCGTTACATAACTGATGCTCCAATCACTGTTTTTCACCCGTCAAACAGAATGGTTCGACATTATCGAGATCGGGTGCCTGGAGTGGCAAGACCTCAGCATCTACATTTTCCAGAACGTTCTCGTCTGGCAATCGAAGCACCACGATTTTATATCGACCGCAGTCGTGGTACCCGTCATGTTAGAACACACTCGAACCCACTTCCCCCACCATATCAGCCACCTGTACCGACCCGACCGTTATCAGAAAGCTTACCTATGGGTTTTCCACCTCCTGCTTACGAAAGAGTGATTGGTAGAATGCGAAGATTTGATTCTACAGTCTCAGAGGAAAGCAGCTTGTATCCCCCTGACTATCAGTCATCTCCACCATCACCTCTTTCGTTGCAAACTGTAACGAACACGGGGCGACGGTCATCTCTTAATTTGCCTTCAGACAGAACAACTGAGTCACGCGCGTCCCTCAATGTAACCGCGACTGACCGACCCACATCAATTGATGTTGGTATTCAGATCAGTTCATCCATATCTGCACCTGTAGAAAGATCAGTATTTGTCGATTCTCCCTCTCAAAGTTATGACCAACCACCACCATCTCCGTCTCCTGGGATTTCAACTGGAGAATATGCAATTGATCCCAGTTTTTGCAGGTTAAGCCCAGGTGCGCAAGCTTCACCTTCAAGCTATTTTACGCCGCAACGCTACAGATCCGCTTCGCCACGCCTTCATTCACCCAATCCGCCATTACATTCAACAGCACGTGCAACGGAAAGTAGTGGAAATGACGCTCAGGCCGCTCAGGCTTTTGCTCCAGTGTTTTTGAAGAACAATAGATCGCCTTTTTCACGGCCTATATTATCTTTGACTTCTCCAGAAAATACTATTCAGGAAAGCGTTGACAACGAAGAAGAAAGCGCTTTTGAAAGTGTAACTGAAACTCCAAATTCACCTAATCAGATGGACCAACCAAGACCAAATGTGGTCCTTGTATATTTGGCACAATCTCAAGAAGAGGAGATTATAGTGTAAAGAAAAAAGTGAATGTTTAATCGTGAAAAATGAGGGTTCAAATCATCAATGATTTTAGCGACTATGTGATTCAGAACCTCGTTCCTAATAAATCGTCAAGCTCTATATACCGAGATCCGACGACCACGTGTCATCACAATTATCTATTTAAATAAACTGACTTTTATGCTCTGTGAGAAGCAGCATATAGTAACTACAGAACCCATTGATTTCTAGACGGTTTTTTTCTTTTTCCATGATTTTTGGTGAACCAAAATGCTCATTCATGGGGAAGAGCAACCGACAAAACTTGTTGTAACATGTAATTCATTGAAAGTGCCTGTTTACATTAGAAACTCCATCACCCGCAATTTATTAACTTAAAGAACTGTTTAGTTAAGTACTAAACAAGAAAATCAGTTTTCCTTAAACCTAATTTTGTGTAGAAACCTGAAGGTAATACTTAAGTAACGTAGAAATTATTTTTAGTATGTAGATTAAGGCCTTTTTACAGACAATATTGTTCGCGTTAGTTGAGGGTCCTGGTAAAACACATTAATATTGATATTAAATATTAGCCTGTAGAAAACAAAATTATGATTTTGTTGTCTGGTCTATTTGTGTCGGGCTTTCTATATATTTAATAGATTATTGTTTCACAAACAACGGGAATATTTCCGCGCAAAAAAGCAATGTTCTTCTCAACTTTAATAAATAGATATAAAGTGTCAGGATAAAAACTTACATCTTTTTTAATTTAAAGTTGACAAAGTTACTTATATCTCCAAGTACAGCTGCTGATGATTTAAACACGTTTTTGTACATATTTATTTCGAAATCCACGAAATTATCTGTATTTTTAGTAAGTTATGAATAAAATATATTTTAATTTATATATGGCACAAGTAGAACTATTAATGATAGTTTAAAAAATGGTAGAGGAAATGCCTATAGTCCATAGGTCTGGGAAGACCATGAATAAGGACTATACAATAACAATACAGTCCACAATAACAAAATGTTTTCCAGCGTTGATTTTCTGATTATGCTTTCACTACCTCGTTCCCAAACGACTCCCTCGCGAGGTAAATTTGCGCTGCGCGCAGAGCGGCGAAAAGGAGCTCAGGCCACCCGGCGTCACCTCTTTTCTGTCTTCTTCTCGTGGCCTCTCGCGCTTCGTGACGAGTTACTGGCGCGTTTCGCAACCAAAGTGCGTTATGAAGCACTTAATTGCAGGAGCAGGCAGGTGCATTCAGGTACCTTGCTGAGGCAGGTAACGTGGACTCAAGTCCATTAAAACGTGTGAACGCAAACAAATTAACTTACATGGAATTACCGCTTCTGTTCACATGAGATTTCGTGTGAAAATTCCCCAGAATGGAGTTTCGAAAACGGAGAATATCTTCTCGTGTGGACACACAGCTGTAAACGCTGAATTTTGTATGTGCCCATAAACTTAAAGAATTGTGTGGACATTGCCTCAAACAATAATAAATAATTCTTAGGTCACTTGTTGTCATTCAAGAGGAACATTTTGTACAAAGACGCTTTATGTTTTCAAGCAGTACATTTATTTTCATTGGTATTCCCGAAGAGTACATCCTAGCTAGCTAGCTTTCGAGCAGCATCGTTGATGACAGCCCCCATAATTACAAATATCGGCTCCTGCAAATATACAAAAATACAAAAATTATCATAAACCTGCGCTTGCTACCGAGTTGATGTTCTCAAAAAACGGAACAGAAAGAGGTGCGGAAGGAACCCACTTGCATCACCTTACTTCGAAATGCATTGGTAGTTTTGGTGAATTGAGGCGTTTTTATTATTTCCGTCATTTTTAATTTTCCATTTTATATTTTAATCATTGTTGGGTGTCCCCAGTTAGTCAGTACGTTTGTCACCTAGCACAACATTAAACTTAATAATTCTTACTGGATATTTACAAGAATGATGTTCCTATACCTATACTTACAAAGCCAACTTGACAATTAACCTTCAACGAATTTTTTTTGTCTTTTTAATTTTTATTCATTTGAAGTATACTGAAATTAATTTACAGAACACGTTCAATTAATGAAACATGCCTTATGGCTAGTGCGTTCTGTTAATTAAAAATGAGAACTGCATAAGAAAATAAATTATTATGATTCCATCTAGACTGTAGGAACCTAATAAACCCTTCTTTTTCCCCTAATATGTCAAGGTACCTGCAGTCTTTCAGTAATTAGCATAACATACATCAAATAGGGATGTTGGTGATATTAATTGGCAGTGCCATCTGGCAGTCTGTAGACAAGCACGAAGCAAACGAAAATGGCTCATTCGGACAAGAATCTGTCCTATAAAAGTTCTTTTGTCCATTTTATGGCTTTTATGTCGCTTTGTCAAAATTTGGCATCTTCAGGTGAGAAACTGGTGAATTCTGACCATTATGTAGTTTTTCAGTCAGTTGTTCAACGGTTTATTATGATTATTGGCATTAACTAAGTGTAGTTATCTACCACTTTTTGCAAATTCATGAAATGTCATAGACTATATAGAGTACTTTTAATAAACCCTAAACTTTCGAGGACCAGAAATTGAAAAGCAATACACGACCATACACCAAAACGAAGCTAGTGCTTGCGCAAGTGGGGTGTTTTCTGTTTCACAATAATGTTTGTCGTGATCCGAAACATTCACTTATGTTTTTAGCATGTTCCTTGTCGTGTCGTCAGTAAAGTTGTCGAGTCTTAGTAACCCCAAATCAGTTCGGCTCCTGCAGCAGTTTCTTTCATAAGCTCGAGAAGTAAAAGTACGGACCTCCAAAGGCACTTAGAGTCACACTTCTATTTAAAGTTTCCACCAGCTTTCATAGATATTCGGTGAAACTAGTTACAAGGTAGTGAAGAGAATGATAACATGGCAATGAAATGCCGGACCATGCTTATTTCTACGATACAATGCTTAAGAATACGGCTATTTGGGAGAATTAATGTTTTCCAGAAAGTCAGCGTTATCACACAGACTTTTGACTCTTTTGTTTTGTTCATGAAACTGCGTTCCTGAAAAATTGCATTGAATACTTTGAAGTTTGTTTCTACTTTACCGTCCAAAGAAGAATTAATTTGGCTTTGTGCTGTTCATGGCCTCGACGATTAAACTCAAGACATATCCACTGCCTAAGTTGTACAAAACATTATTATGACTCAACTCGTCGAGAAGACGTGTTTTAAAAAATTGGAAAATACTGTGCATGAAACGCTTTAAACCACCGAGAAGAGCGATCATCCTCGAAACGTCTGGATTTTCGTACTTTTTCAACACACATTTTGATAAACTTTGTAAAAATCGCTGAGAAGAAGCCTTGTTTGCAGCCTTTGTTCATACGGTTATTCGCAGCGAAAGATGCGCAATTCAAAAGGACGCCGTGAGTTTTAGCGCTCATGCCAGAAAAAGCCGTACAACTACAAAACATGAAAGCATTTTGATAACGATTCATTTTTGACAAGAAACTTTGTTTAACCAGACTAATTGTAGTGTATTGAATCAAGCCACCCGAACTGAGTGCAAGTCTGAGTCTAGTTCTTTTCTCTATCAATCATGACTGTCACCAGTCTGAGCTGTTTACCATACGTCTTTCACTGATACACTCTTTTTTTATATATAAGAATGTTGTTTTTCCGGCCCAGGCTGAATATTCTTATTTTTCTGCCGATTTTAGGCTGAAAATTTTCTTGTATTATTCTTAAATTATAGCTTATGACATTTCCGTTTTAGAATATATTGGGGTATCAAATATAGTTAGTGCAGGTTTTTACGCCTTTTTGGCAAGTTTTGCCGCTTAGAGAATGGAGTAAGTTGAAAATATATAATTGTATTGTATTTACAGTTTTTAAACACACAAAATTATATCCTTTTCAAAACCTTAGCTTGGGGTTTATTCTTAAAATATTCTTAAAATTTCGCAAATTTCAGCCTCGATATTCTTATAAAATTTATTCTTATAGAAAAAAAAGAGTGTACTATTCTACTTCATTCAAATCACACTCAGTTATATTACTAGTATGCAGTACATTCCCCCTTCTAGGATCTTTCTGGTACAGGATCTTCCTCCTTCCATGTAATTAATCAGTCCCTTGAAAAAAGAATGATACTTATTAATATTAATGATAATTTCTATGTCCACAAGAGGTTAAACTTTAAGTTTTTCTAATCATGCCAGCTGAGGAGGGCCGCATCATAGTGTTTAAAGAACCTGTACCAAACAAAGTCATGACAGGTCATGTGATCAGAAGAGAAAGTGTCCCCAATGAAGGGAGCTGTCGAGTGAAGTGTTATATGGAGCCCAACTGTGTGTCCATAAATATGGGACCACTGAAAGAAGGAACGCTCGAATGCGAATTGAATAATGCCACTGCAGAAAACGAAAATGTGTTTGATTTAAGGAACAAAGATGCTCACACTTATCTGGCCATCGAGGTAAGTGCTTTTTTTGAAACTCGGTGACGAGGCTGTTTATAAAGGTTAATCGGGACTGACGTTTAGTTCACAAGAAGATCTAACGTCAAGTTTTTATTCCGCTAGTGGGATGGACTGCGTAGCAAGCGTTTAAGGTCGTGTTATTGCGCGAAAGTTGGGGCAAGAGTAAAATATATGCTATTGCGTTCCAGCTTTTCTCGACAAGCTCGAATGGAAACGCTTGCTACTTAGCCTGCTACTTAGATCGCTCTTTCAAGAGGTTTTTGAACAAACAAACAACAATAAACCTGTGGCGAACGTACCAGCGAATTAATATTGAAATCATTCAAAGTCTTGTTTATATATTTCTTAAAGTGAGCTTCTCAATGGGGTGATGGCATTGGGCTACCTTAATACTTTGCTTTTTTGCGTCTAACGCTGTAACAATTTCTCCTAGTAACGGGGTTAATTAATAAAGAAGTTTCCGTCTATGAAAGGTAAATTATTTGCGGTATGAAAAAAATATACGGAAATTTATCAGCAGCGAGACAAGACACACAAACGGCTTTCACGATTTTTACGACTAAGAAATCAAACATTCTACATCGGACATCTTACATTACACCTGTTGACTCTAATGTCTGGAGTTTTGGCAGATTTACGGCTAACGGTTTGTCCATTCTTAGGCCCTCTAATATACTTATAATCTGGTAGTTGTTTTTGATTGCTGCTCCTTATTCCAGAATCCCTGCAGCAGTAGTCCATGTCTAAACAACGGGACATGTCAAGCTGGATTCACAAGTAAAGGGTTTCGTTGCATATGTCTTCCGTTATTCCCCGGAACAAACTGTGCAGGTACGTGCATGCAACAATTTTTATTGCACATTTGGCTTAAACCATGTATTTAAAGAGAGATCAGCACTGATTAGGCCCATAGTAAGAGTGAGGCAATTTTGCTTCATTTCAGTGAGGCATTTTTTCTTCATTTCGGTGGGCAACGTTTTGCCAAAGTCCCGAAGATCGGGAACTTTTTTTGAAAGGGAGTAAGGCTCTGGTAGTGTCAACAAAGAAGATTTTCAAAGGAATTTTCTGGTCAACTGTAGACGTTTTTGAGTATTCTTCTGTCACTTTTAACTGAATCGTGCACATTTGGGTATGGTTCGAACGATCTCACTTTCCTATACAGTACATGTTAGCGGTCAAAACCGTCCACGAACGTAAGAGTGATGACGTCACAAGTGGTACAATGGACGATGATATGCACTGTCGGTAATGGGTGGCTCGAGTGTGAATGGGTTAAAGCAGTGTAAAACTGAGAAGCCACATGCACACCAAGGAAGTGCAAGTAGTAGTCAGTTAGTTCC